AAGTCCTGGTGATCTACTTTAGAAATTAGCCAATGAAAATGATATAGATCACAACAGTCCAATCCCACCATACATGGAATTTCCATGAGCCAGGCACTGCCTGGAAGGTAGTTAACAACAACAACACCCATGTAGTATTTAATGCTACGAATACCCATGATGTATTCTGGAAACAAACTACAGAAAAAAAAAGAAAAGAAAAAAAGAGATAGAGGAGCGTCCAGGTCTAAATTCTGAGGCTCTTTAAAATGCAGTGTTAAGCTTCAGAAGGAGTAAGCAAAAGAAACTTTTTTTTCCTAAATCCAGAAGGAAAACAGAAAAGTCATGGAAGTGAAGAAAATGTTTCAAGAGATGATGAGAAGTCTACTGTGTAGACTGCTGTTGAGCAGGGAAATTGAAGCTTATAGAGTGTTCTTTGGATATGCCAATATGGAAGTTGTTGGTGTCCTTAGTAACAGAAGTGAGTAGCTGCCAGACAAAGTGAAGAAATAGGGTTAATAAGTATACAATTTTCTTGGGAAGAGCAAGGCTGGTAAGAGGAAAAAGGGAGCAATAGCTAGAGGAGAACAGAAATTAGATAAAAGAAAGACTTGTATATTGGTTTGGGTTGGCTTTGTGTGTTCTGTATATGTAAAAATAGGAGACAGTAGACAGAACTGGAATGATCATGGTAAGAATCCATCAGGACAGTGATTCTTAAACTTCAGTGAATATGAGAATCAACTGGGCACTTGTTCAAACACTGATTGCTGAGCTCCACCCTCAGTTTCTGATTCCCAGGCCCAGTAGTTTCTCAGATTAAGCTGTTGCTGCTGGCCCTGGGGCCACACTTTGTGAACCAACCACTATGGGAGAGACAGAGAGTTGTTGCTGTAGGTAGGTGCCATCCAGTTGGTTTCCACTCATAGCAACCCTATGAACAACAGAGTGAAACACTGCCTGGTCTTTCACCAGCCTCACGATCCTTCTACACCTAACCCCATCATTACAGTCACTGTGTCAATCCATCTCACTAAAGGGCTAACTGACCCTCCATTTTATCAAGCATGCTATCCTTTCTCCAGGAAATAGTCCATTCTGACAACATGACCAAAGTAAGTGGGATGAAGTCTGGCCATTCTCACTTCCAAGGAGCAATTTGGCTGCACTTCCTCCAGGAGAGATTTGTGCATTCTTCTGGGAGTTCATGGTACTTTCAGTATTCTTCACCAACACCACAACTCAAAGCATCAACTCTTCTTCTGTCTTCCTTACTCATTGGCCAGCATTCTTATGCACATGAGGTTATTGAAAATATCATGGCTTGGGTTAAGCACACCTTAGTCTTCAAGGAGAGATCTTTGATTTTAAGGACTTTAAACAGGTCTTTTGCAGAAGATTTTCCCAGCACAATATGTTGTCTGATTTCTTGACTGCTGCTTCCATTGGTGTTGATTGTGGAACTAAGTAATATGAAATCTTTGGTTAACTTCAATTTTCTTCTCCATTTATCTTGAGGTTGCTTATTGGTCCAGTTGTGAGGATTTTTGTTTTCTTTCTATTGAGTTGTAATCCACACTGCAGACTTTAAGTCTTTAATCTTCATCAGTAAGTGCTCCAAGTCATCCTCACTTTCAGCAAGCAAAGTTGTGTCATCTGCATATCTAAGGTTGTTAATGAATCTTCCTCCAATCCTGATGATGAGTTCTTCTTCCTATAGCCCAGCTTCTCAGATTATTTGCTCAGCATACAGATTGAATAAGGATGGTGAAAAGATAGAACTCTGACACCCACCCTTCCTGATTTTAAACCATGCAGTATCCCCTTGTTCTGTTCCAATGACATGTTCCACAAGAGCACAGTTAAGTGTTCTGGAATTCTCATTCTTCTCAATGATATCAATAATTTATCATGATGCACATAGTGGGCTGCTTTTGTATAGTCAATAAAACACAAGTAAACATTTTTTTCTGATATTCTTTGCTTTCAGCTAAGATCCATCTAATATCAGCAATGATATCCTTCATTCCAGATCTTTTCAATTGTAAATTTCTGGATGTTTGCTGTCATTATACTGATGCAATAGTTTTTGAATTTTCTTTAGCAAGATTTTACTTGCGTGTGATATTAATGATACTATTTTAAAATTCCCACATTCTTTGGATTACTTTTCTTTGGAATGGGTCCAAATATGGATCTCCTCTAGTCAGTTGGCCAGGTAGCTGTCTTCCAGATTTCTTGCATGGACGAGTAAGTGCCTCAAGAGTGGCATCTGTTTGTTAAAACATCTCAATGGGTACTCTGTCAATTCCTGATTTTTGCCAATTCCTTCAGTGAAGTTTTGACTTTTTCCTTCAATACCATTTGTTCTTGATCATATGCCACCTCCTGAAATGGATGAATGTTGACTAATTCTTTTTGGAACAGTGAGTCTGTGTATTCCTTCCATTTTCTTTTGGTGCTTCCTGCATCATTTAATATTTTGCCCATAGAGCCTTTCAATACTACAAATTGAGGCTTGAATTTTTTCTTCAGTTCTTCCAGCTTCAGAAATACCAAGCATGTTCTCCCCTTTGGGTTTTCTAACTCTACGTCTTTGCACATTTCATTATAATTAATAACTTTGTCTTCTTGATCTGCTCTTTGAAACACGTTCAGTTCTTTTATCTTGTCATTTCTTCTATTTGCTTTAGTTTCTCTCTGTTCAAGAGTTTCTGAGTCTCTTCTGACATCCATTCTGGTCTTTTCTTCCTTTCTCATCGTTTTAATGACCTTTTGCTTTTTTCATGTATGATATCCTTGATATCATACCACAAGTCATCTGGTTTTCAGTCATTGGTGTTCAATGTGTCAAATCTATTTTTCAAATGGTCTCTAAATTTAGGTGGGATATAATCAAGGTCATATTTTGGATCTCATGGACTTTTTTTAATAATAAGTTTTCCCATAATATATCAGACAGTGTTCCATTGTTATTCATAGGTTTTCATTGGCCAATTCTTGGAGAAGTGGATGGTCCCTTCCTTCTTCCAAGTAGGTCTTAGTCTGGAAGCTCCAGTGAATCCTGTCCACCATGGGTGACCCTGCAGGCATTTGAAATACTGATAGTATAGCATCCAGCCTCACAGCTATACAAAAGCCACCACAGTAGGACAAACTGACAGACATGTGGTGGACAGATATATAGAGAGGTTAAAAATACAAGTGAGTTAAAGGTTAACACAATCAATACCAGTTTTGAAAGGCAGGAAGAACTAGAGTCAAGAGCATTTGTGAAGAGTTTAGTTTGGCTAGGATAAGGATTACTCTGTAATAACTGGAAGGAACAAGAGAAGAAAGTAAAAATAATAGTAATAATGAAAGTGATAATGATAGCAATTGACTACTACATGCCAGAAATGGTTCTAAACATTTTAGTATATATAAACTCCTTAATTTTAGTAATAACTCTACCAAGAAGAAAAAATACAATTAAGTATGTATATTTGGTGGTAAAGGAGCTCTGGTAGAGTATTATTTAAAGCATTCAGCTGCTAACCAAAAGGGTGGCATTTCAAGCCCATCCCACCAGCCTCTCCACAGGAGAAAGATGGGGCAGTCTATTTTCATAAATATTTACAGCCTTGGAAATGCTATAGGGCAGGTCTACTCTGCTGTATAGGATCCCTATGAGTCAGAATCAACTTGATGGCAGTGGGTTTAATTTGGTATTTGGTAGGAAATGACAAGATTCCTATTTTTTTCTGTGGTGTCTAAAATGATCTGATAATAAAAGACCATCAGTAGAGTGTGAGATGAGGAAGGGAGGTTAAAATTTGGGTAGTTTGGGAAAATATAAAATATTTAATGAAAAGAATAGGAGAAGGTTTTTATAGAAATATGGTGAGATTGGCGTCATAATTGAATGATCTTTGAAGGTAGGAAATGAGAATTATCAATTGCTTGAATTTTCCCATCCTGCTTACTTCTCACATGCCACTTGGGCAAAGAAAACCATGGGCTTAATCTAGATTAAGGTTTTATCAGGTGAGTAAAACAGGGAGAAAGGAAAAGGAGGAAGGTAAGTTTTTTTTTTTTTTTTTTAATTATTTGGTTGTGTAGTTTGAGTGTAGATTTTAAAGAATCTACAGATAGAAACAAAGGCTCGAGAGGGATTGACTGAAGAAAGGTATTTTGGAAAGATAGTTAAAGCTACTCTAAAAGCTGTATAATTTTTCAATTTATAAAATTTTGATGGAGAAAAAATTGTTTTTTCTATTACATTTGTTGATGCAATTCACTTTCCTCAGTCAAAGACTTAAATTTGACTTTCCATTTAAACGTACTTTAATGTTCTTTGAAACTAAAGCATATTGTCTTACTGCCCATGCCCATCTTTGTATGTGGAATATGTCAGCATTAAGTGTCTGAGTGTGCTCCCTTCTAACCATTCTGCATGGCATGCTACACTGTGAAGAATCGATTCACTGATTTGCCAGTCAGACTGCTAGTTCTCCTCCACCTTGAAATAATTAGGTTTAATCAGCAATTTTACAATACTAAAAGGTGGTGTGAACGTGGGCTAGTCCCAAAGAGTAAATATTTTGTGGTGAAATAGGTAAGTTGGTCCTGAGTGTAAAATATATAGGATCCCAACAAAGAGAGTATGGAGTGTTAACTGGCTATAATCACCTATGACCTAATCTTTTTGGGATGGACAGAATATCAACCTTGTAATATAGCCACCCATGAGAGTCAGTGCATCTTGTAGAATTATACTTATCCTAGGGAGACTTATCCTTTCATCACACTAAATTATTAAATAGTTCTTGCTGTTGCTGTTTTTAAGCAGGATGTGTCTATGTATGTATATGCATTGTATGTTATATATACTACAAATATATTAATGTATTAATGGTAATAATGTATTAATATAATAATGTTAATGTATTGATTTATTGCAAAAAAGCTGGGAGAAAAATTTTATTTAAAAAATAAAAAGGAAATTGATAAACACTCTCTTATTCAGGAATTTTCTTTACCTGTGAGGGTGCTGGTATTGACCAGCTCAGTACTAGCCGAGGGCTCGAGGGCAGCCTGGAGATCGTCTTCACCTTGAGCTTTCAGAATGTACTTCTCAATTACACCACTAACCACAACAGGTTTATCCCAAGTCACTTCAATGGTATATCCATTTATGCTGTGGGCTCTTAAGGGAGTTGGCACACTTTGTGGAGCTGCGAAAGAGTAAAATAGAAAACAGAGAAAATGGCAGTTCGAAGAAGACTATTGCCCCTATTCTTCACTTTTAATGGGCGCAGTAAATCAGGCTCAACCATTAGCATAAATACAATTTATTACTGTTGTAACTTTTCAGCATTGATTTAATATGACTGCACATCTTGAGCCATTCAGTTTAAGCTATATTTCAAAACCATCAAAACTCCATCGACATAACATTCTTTCAAGTCTAGTCCAGGTTTTCCAAAAACATTTAATGTATCCGACATGTTTAAATATCACTCATAAAGAAGGAGGTGGAAGGTAGGCAGATAACAAGTTCAAGCAATATAATGATGTACCCCTTCGAAGAAGATAATTAGATTGTTATTATACACAGTGGCTTGACACTTTTATATCTTCAATGTATTGGCCAAAAAACATCACAAATGTGATTGTGTTGTACTTGAATTTCTGGTGCCATTTTCCAAATTCAATTGTTTTTTCAGTGAATTTTAAAAAGCCAAGTTCTACAGGCTTTTTAAAATTATATATGATATATTCCTAATTGCATTTTAGGGGATGTGGAAGCTGATACACTTGAGATTATATAAAATCTTTTTCAGAGAACTTTTCTCCAGAGTATCTCAAAGTAATAATCCAAAAGGAGATGGTGGAAAGGAACTGCAATGCCTCCAATACAAGCAAGGCCCCCTAATTTTAAAAATCCATAACCTTTAACTATTTATTGGATATTTCTACAGTTTTGATCAGTAACAACTTCATCACAGCTGACTGCACTGGGGACCCTGAGAAAAAGCCCAAGGAAGTCTGTGGCAGGATGATGGATGAGCGACCTGCTCTAACTACTCATGCACTCCTGGGCCCTGTCGATGGAGGATCACTCTGGTTTTCCCACATCAAGTATCCTCCTTCTCAGACTTTACTGTTCAGACCCATAAAATAGGACAGCTTCAGGGGAAACAAAGTGAACATAAAGGATGAGGGGAAGCGCTGAGAAGGAGAACCACTGTCTGTGCCCTTAAAATACCACAGGCGCCTATAGAAAACAGAACTGGCCACACAATCGAGTTGGAAGTAAACGGACAACGGGAGTGATGTTGATTTTATTAGTTCTGAAATGTGGTACAGGGCAAAGTACAGTACTGTCTAACAGATGGTCTTCTCATAAGGGACAGAGCAAAACTGACTCAAAAATAATTAAATAGTGCAATTATTCTCCAACCCTAGGGAGCATGTAGCTGCTCAGTGTTGTGGTCAGATTGTAAATATGAATTTATAGCATAAGACTCTGTTGTCAGATCATTGCTATAAATTCAGACCTCTATTTGCGTACTTTCTAGATGGTACTCAAAATGGAGACTAATAAGCTACACAGGAAATGCAATTTCAAGCCAAGCCACCTATTTAAGTTACTGAATTGTATTCAAAGCAGATTTTATAGTGCATTTGTTAATGAGGTAGAGGAGTGTGAAATAGGGGCAGGGAACATACTACTACCAAATGAACATTTTATATTAGAGCTTTGTTCTAGCTTTGAAGTTAAATAGATTTTAAGATAACACTCAGCTTCTACTTGTCTCTAAATATATTATAATTTAAATCATCCTGGAAAAGTGTCACATTGTTTCTCTTCTGGAAAATGTCTAGGCAGAAAATCTTGAAAATAATTCTTAGTAGCTCACCTCAGAGCCCTAATGGCACAAAGGTTAAGTTCTTGGCTGCTAAGCAAAAGGTCAGTGGTTTGAACGCACCATTGGCATGGCAGGAGAAAAGACCTGGCAAGTAAACTGGTCCCATAGTGATTACTGCTTAGGAAATCCTATGGGGTAGTTCTAGAAGTGTAAGACTTATAAGTCAGTTGTCTGAGATTAGATTGAATGTATTCTATAGCCCAATTATTTCTCCTCCAACTCAAAAAAAAGTAGACAAATCAGCAGTTTCCTCCCAGCTATATCCTGGGAGAGTCATTGTAAAATCCTAATAGGCAACACCATGACAAACATCTGCCATGATGTGATAAAAGACACAGCTGTTTCCAGTGAAGGTGCAGATTTCAAATGTAACTCTTTCCTAAGGAGTACCATGCACATCTAGAAGTAACCCAGCCTCAGTTTCTTGTGGTCTGTGCAGTTTGTAATTTGCCCTATCTTTAGACATCTTACCTTATTTATGTCCCTACTAAATCCCTAAATCTTTAAGACAACTTGACCCTTCTTTTGCATTCTAAGAAGAAAAAAAATCAAACTTGAGTAAATACTAAAAAAAAAAAAAAGTACTCATGTACAAGTATTTTAGCCATTCTCAGATACATTTACAAACCAAAGCATTCTGTGTCACAAGATTACAAAACTACTACTTCTGAGTGACATGGGTTTTCTATACACACACAAATATGTATGCACAAATACATGTATGTGTGTGCATATATACATTTTAGGTTAAACAGTATTTACCTGTTCCTGTTGTACGTCCCCGACTCCAATCACTATATACTAAACCTCCTTCATGTGAGGCTCTCACTCGATACAGGTATTCTTAAATGGAAACAATAAGTAGAAATATTAAAACATTACTGAGATAGATTTAGTGGTGGGCTGGTGGGGAGGGCAAAGGGAATATGTAGGAGACAGGTAACACTGAATTTGGAGGACTTTTATATTACCTGTAAAGGGCTGGAGACCACTCTCATAAATGCTCTGCTCTGTTCCCCGGTAAACCAGGATGGAGTCATTTCCCCTGCAGTTAACAGTGCTGTCAGTTGATAGGCATCCATCCAGATTGACTCTGACAGCACTGCTGGACACAGATGCCAAGTTAACGACAGCACCCCGTGTAAATTCAACATCCTTCATGCAACCACCGAAACCTAGCAAATAGTAAGGGATTAGTATCACATAAAGGGTTTGAGTCATTAATTACCAGTCATTTTTGTCCTCTGCAGGACTACGCTTTGATGGGTGGGGATGAGGTTGATATACAATTGTTAAAACTTTCAAGCCTTGTTTGGGAAATTCTTTATGCCTTCTCCCAATTGTTTTTAGGTTAAAATGTTGCAATGAGATGCAACATTTCTATTATTTTGAAAAAAAAATGCTGATAATTATAATTCAACTTTGGTACTGAAGAGCATTTATTTTACCTCTTCAAGTCTGTATTTTCTCATTTTGTTTTTCTCATAAAATAAAATGTTGCCACTATACATTATGATGGGGGGTATATAACTAAATTCTGGGAAATGAAGTAACCTATATAAGTCAGTGTTTCTTGCAATAGTCTCAAAATAGACTAAACTTCTGAGATATCACAATGAATGGCATAATAATTATTTCAGAGTGATTGAATTTATTCTCAGATAACTAAGTATACATAAGAGCTAGTGTTTTATTCTACCGTTTTATTGAGTTCCACAGTTTTGGATATACAAAATGGTTACCAGTTCCATTCATGTTAGCATGACAGGGACCAGCATTCAGCTTTGGCAATAGAACCCTGAAGTTTCAAAAGAGAGTACATTCTGGCACAGTTAACTTCAGAATGACCAGAGCATAGTATAGTTCTGGTAAGTTTAACAGACGGTGTGGATGAAATGGATTTGGAGTATTCACTACTACTTTGCTAGAAAGCCATAGGGCATCCAGTTGGCCAGGGAAGAGCAGTTGCTTTCAATTGCATGCTGTTTCATGTAAAGAGAGATCAGCTCAATGAGGTTTGACAGTACTCTGCTCAGGAAACTGCACGGAAGTGCAATAGAAGGGACAAATAGGGCTGAGGTTGGGATTGCTCCAGTATACACATTCTCTTTCTGAACAAAACACTATTATGTTTGAAAAGACCTCAAACACTTGATTAGCTCTTTTCATGACGAAGGCACATCAGCAGGAAATGAAAATATAGCGTAATGCAATGTTTAACAGTAAAAAAACATTAATAGTAACAGTGACCATATTGTTCTATTCAGCATTTATGTGGTGTCTTATTACGTCTTCTAACACATTGAGTCATAGCCTATTTCCTTCTAAGTATCTTTTGTTGTTATTCACATTACTTTAGGTCCAACAGATCAATATGGCTAGTCTATCTTGAACACACAGTAGACAGACATGCAGAAGTTTGGAGGGTTGAATTGAAAGCAAGGAAGCTCAATAGAAAAGCATCTGCTTGAAAATTCAGAAGTTAAGAAGTCTAATTTACTTATCAGCTATCATTTTCTGATAGCATACAGTGGAATTACCTGACTACTCTGTACTTAATTTCTCTACCAACATAAAGAGAACATGAAAATGTCATCTTTGAAAGAATGAACAGTGTATATAAGTACTGTTATAAACTAAAACCAAACCAAACTCACTGCCACTGAGTCAATTCTGATTCATAGAGATCCCCATTGGGTTTCCAAAGCTGTAAATCTTTATGAAGACTGCCCCATCTTTCTTCCATGGAACTACCAATGTTTTGGGTTAACAGCCAAATGCCTTAATTACACCACCAGAGCTCCTTTAGTACTGTTATAAGATACGTCAAAACCAAGATGCATAAGACAAAACTTTAAATTTGGGAAAGGCAATGGAGATAGTCTTCCTTCACTTTTGAGATAAATATAAAGGATCACAGAGCTATAGATGAGGTTTGTAAATACTAATATTCTTAAGGAAGTGGTAATCTGGCCTCAGGTCTTGGATGAGAAGGTGCCTACCTGACCTTTGTTTGGCTTCCTCACTGTGGTATCCCCACCACCATTAGCCAAAGAGTTAGTTCAAATGAGATTTGTACCATTCCTCCAACTCCACACCTCCAGAAACAGGCCCCCAATAAAAAAATTAATAATTGGAAATGGATGGTGGTTATGGTTCCACAACGTATGAATATAATCACGGTCATAGAAATGTACATGTGAAAAATGGTTGAAACAACACATATTTTGTCATATAGATTTTATCCCAATTTTTGTTTTTAATTGTTTTGAATGGGGTATGATAATGAAAAGAGAAGGAAAGGCATATTTGAGGGATGAAGGGTCAAAGCTCATCCTTTTCTGCCTTTATGGGAACCAACAAAAGACATACCTTGCTCTTCAACTTTCATTTATTAAAACTTGGTCCAGAGCTCTGGGCTGACTAATTGGAAAGCCAGTAGCCCTTCCTCTTGGAGAGGCATTGCTGCACCAAGGTGCTTGGCTTGGCAGGTAGGTCTGGCTTCAGTCCCAACTCTTACCCTGTCAGCTGGGTGCTTTGGGCAGAGAAAAACTTGTGGACCCACATACGTGGTCCAGCCATTCCCACCCTAGATCTAAGTGATGCTCCTGGGAAATGAACTGCCATGATCTATCTGATCAGACGTGGCACACTTTCAGCATACTATGTTGCTGAGTATTTCTAAAACAAAGAGGAAGATTAATTTTGCATTTGATTCAAAGGAAGATTATAATATTAATGGATAAGAAGAATAGCACTGATATCACAAAATAGAGCCTCTGGGGGATGGGAAACTTGCTAATTAAGAATCATAGAAAAGAAGGAAGGTTTTTAAGATCATTGATAATAGATTGGAAAAATACATTACATGCACATGATTTATTTTAACTGCAATTCACTACATGCATGCAGCATCTCTGTACTGAGACCATTCTTGATAGAAATCAGTGTTTGTCAAAGCATCTGAATCAGATTCTCAGGTTATGACATCATAAAAACTTCAGTTTAACAACTCTGCAGGTGATTAATATGTATCTTGAATGGTAATAACAATAGCAATTTTATTGAGTTCTTACTATATTCCACCTACTATATTTCAATATGTTATCAGTGGTTTGAGAAGCACTGATATGGATGATAGTGACATGATAAAAATTTAGTATTACCTATAAATAAAATATCTCAGTATAGATTTAGTCATATTGTGGGCTAAATTATTTCCCTTAGGTCTATGATGATGTTTTAAACTTTTCTCATCATCATCTTACAATTCCAGTTTTAGCAAAGTCTCTAGAAAAATCATATTAATAGGTTGTGGTGTACTCTGAAAGCACAGGGCTTGATGTGCAGAATTGTTGTTTTTGCTCTCTCCCAGATATAAACAGGATCATGTCACCTCACTCATACAAAGGGTTTGCAAGCTCTTTCTAATCTCAGAAACCTGAAATCCTGGAGAAGCACTTTTAAGAATGTAATATTTTTAGCTGCTGTTACATCTTAAGTGCCTTGAAAATGTCATTACTGTCTTATACCTCAGTTATTCATTAACTCCTTACTAGTACCCTTCTAAAAGTCTCCTTAGAGTTTGCCATATATTTTCTATTCAAAGGCATTTAAATCTTTATGTACTTACCAAATAGGCAAAGACAGTTTCATAGAAATTTTAACCATTCATGGTATAGACATTTTTAAATACAGAGAGAACATTTTCTACATGAAAGCATGTTGGTCACATGCTGGAGTTTCTGTACTTGTTCCCACTTTATAAAGAAGGATCATTGGCCAATGACCATAAAAGACAATGCTTGATTGTAATAAGGAGAGGAGTTTCTGACAACAGGCTGCCTAAGACAGCCTAGGTTTGCTGCCTGCTTTCTAGCTATGTGACTTTGGGCCAATTTACCTTGCTCTCTGTTCTTCCAACATTTGTACAATGGTGATAAAAATAATAACACCAACTCACTGGCTCGTTATGAAGAATGGATGCCCTTATTCCCACCTAAAGCTCTTAGAACCATGCCCAGCTTGTAAGATACCCTTAGCTATTTTATCCAATTGTGTTCAAACTTATATATATGAGTTTAAATGCTTGCTTTAGTTCTAAGTAAAACACTTTTCTTTTGTCTGATGGTTATCAATAATCAATAACGTATAGATTTTCCACTAGTATGTTTGGAACTCAACTATATCAACTCTTTTGCCCCATGAGAGCTCTATTAGAAAAAAAAGTACAGACAATTAGCATTTATATCAGAAAAAAGGGAGCTCTGGTAGCTTAGTGCCTAAGGCACTTGACTGCTAACCAGCAAGCTGGCAGTTCAAACCCTCCAGCCCTCCTTGGAAGGAAGATGGGGCAATCTACTTCCTTAGTGGTATCACCTCAGAAATCCAAGGAGGGGTCGCTATGAGTTGGGTCTGACTTGATGGCAAACAATAACGTCAGAAAAAAAAGTAATGAATTTACCTGCCATTTTTCCTAGTATAACTACCAATGATAAGTACACAAAAGAAGTAGTGCCACATGCATTTTCAAAGAAAAGACATGACAAATATATTTATTTACATATTTACATATATTAATTGTAAATATATTTGAGGAAGACATGTCAGAATAAATATATGGATTGTTGTTGTTGTTGTTATGTGCCGTTGAGTCAGACCTGACCCATAGTGACCCCTCCTTGGGTTTCCAGGGCAGTATCACTAAGGAAGTAGATTGCCCCATCTTCCTTCCGGGGAGTGGCTGGTGGGTTTGAACTGCCGACCTTCTGGTTAGCAGTCAAGTGCCTTAGCCACTACGCTACCAGAGCTCCCAATGTATGGATTAGAACAAGCATATTAGTATATTTTAAGGGTGACAGACATTATTTGAAGAAATGTCCTGCAGTTTTTTTCTCTTTTTGAAGAAAAAAATTCTCAAAAATAAAAGAAGGGATGGATTTGCTTTCAGCATGATTCTATTGCTGTATTGAATCACAGAAGTGTCAAAATCTGGAAGGACCAGGTCTTTATTTGTGAGTTTTTCCAGATGGAGTTTACCTTGTTCAAAATTCAGGTGTTTGTAAGTGTTGTGCAGTTCCGGTGGGATTCCTCCAACATAGACTGGGGAATTCACCATCACAGGCTGGGCCCTGGACTCCGACACACGCTCCGTGAGATCATTCATGCTTACTGATATATCTGAGCCTTCTTTCTTCATAATCACTTTATTCCACTCTCCATCACAATAGGAGAGCCCCAGCCAGAGATCTACTTGTGTTAAAGTAAGACTGGTATTTAACAGGAAGCTCAATATTCCACTCTTCAGCTCCATCTGTATTTCAAATTAAAAAGAAAAATATGTATATACATAGACTGCAAAATGAGAGCTTAGGAGAGAGCAGAAGGTCAAATTCTTGAAGGGAAGCACTCTATAAAAATGTTCCACTTAATTCTAATAGAACTATATTAACATATAATGAAGTACTTTGCAAGCTTTTAATTGACAGGTAGAATGCTATACTGAATGAAACAAATTATTACTCAGTAATGATTATACTATGTAATGCAACATTATGTCAGCCTAACATTATTTATTTTTGGTGCAACATAGTTAAAAAATTAAATTCTACTATAAGTGAGTGGATAATTGAAGAGAAAAAAACAGCTTGAACTAGGGCTTAATTTTATTTGAGTTTCTGGAAAATGAAAAAATATGATTTCATGTATCAATTTAATTTGAGGAAAATATGAAAATAAAAAAATGATATTTCAATTTTGACTAAGCTTATTTTAAGTTATTGGTGAACTCAATATCAAATTTCTAAGATGTATTTGATTCAATATTCAATTTTATTGTTCTAAATCACTAACATAATTGCTTTTATTTTTATTTTTTTTTAGATTAATATGACATTTTTTAATGTGAATATATTTTACCCAAATTTTCATGGTAAAGGAAACACTTCCATGTTTTTAAAAATGTTATATGATAATGATTTATTTTTACTATGTTCCTATTTTATTAACACTTAAAAAAGCAAAATACTGATATTCTTTGTGTCAAATAAAATAGATTAGGTAATCTCAGAGGAAAATATTACTTTTCATGTAAATATCATCAAAAAGTACATCAGGTAAGTAGTTGTTCATTTATTATCCAAATATTGAGTTCCTTTCTATGTTCTATGCATATGCTGTTCTAAAATAAACACTGCTCTCAGATATTCCATTCTCTGATAGCAGAGACAAACATGGGAATACCATAACCACGATGAGGATGGAGTACAATGGGAGCAGAGAAAGGATGTACATTTTGTTCCTTGAGATTTGGGAGAAGTTTGAAGTAAGGTTTTTGAAAGTGTATAAGATCCACGGAGGATGATACTCCAAGTAGGAAGATTAACGTGTACAAGGGCATGAGGACATGTAAGAGTTCATTAGGTTTGGGAAAAAGTACCAACTTAGGTAAGACAAAGGGAACCTCTGGAGAGGGATTGACTAGGAAAGAGCCTTGCCAGGTATATAAAAGCTAGAGGATTTTGAGTGATATGGGCAAAAAGTTCATTTGTCTCTTTATTTTTTAAAATACATTTTATTGAAATATAATTTATGTACAGTGAAATACACAAACTAAAATGACATGGGTCAATGCATTTTTTTTTTTTTTTCCTGCAGTGTTCCCTCCCCTCCCCTCCCACCCCTGGCAACCAACAAAGAAAGTTTCCCTCCATATATAAACCTTTTTCCTTGATCCTCCACAACAACGAACTAATACTATATTTGTCCTTCTGTGATTGAGTTATTTTATTCAGTATAATGTCCTCCAAGTTCATCCATATTATGTGTTATTTTGCAGACTCTACCTTATTCTTTAGTGCTGCATAGCATTCCAGTATGTGTGTGTACCATAGTTCGGTCATCCAAACTTCTACTGATGGGCACGTAGGTTGTTTCCATCTTTTTCCTATTATAAATAGTGCTGTGGTGAACATGAGTGTGCATGTATCTGTTCCTATCCTGGCTCTCACCTCTCTAGGATATATACCTAGTAATGGGATTGTTGGGTCAAATGGTATCTCCAATTCCAACT